CACAGGAATAAAATACATTTTAAAATATATTCAAATAGAAAACAGTTATTTTAAAATAGAATAATATTTCACAATATTACCATTTTTACTGCATTTTTGATCAATTAAATGCAACTATTGCAACACAAAGGACCTGAAAAATTATTGTATCTAATTTAGGGCTGCAAAACGATTAATCGCATTCAAAATAAAAGTTTGTTTACATACTGTATGTGTGTGTACTGTGTATATTTATTATGTATATAAATACACACACACATACATGTATATATTAGAGAAAAATATGTTACATTTATATATAAATTATTTATATTTATATATAATAATAATATAAGTTATATACAAGAATAAATATATATACATACAAATATTTTTTTTTAAAAATATATTACGATTAATCATTTTTGCAGCCCTAGATTGAACTGATTAATAATGCAGTCAGGTTTAGAGATATTAATTAAACATTTGTCTTATTCTTCAACTCATGAGACAAGGAAGGATTGTACAACTTGTGTTATAGCAACTTAATGGCCAAATAAAAAGCACATGAAAATCATTGCAATATTTACAACGTTCTTCATTTAATGTTGTCAGCAAGATCATTGTGAATATATTATGATTGTTTGATATATATCGCCCAACCCTAATAGTTTTCTTAGTAATGCTAGGAGGGTTATTTCAGGAAAGTGTTTTTCAACGTCAGGTTTTGCTGGATGTCAGTAAGTACTCACTTGCAAGTTGCAACTGCCTGAGAACAAATGAATTCGTTCACGCCGCATTTTATTCACAAGCACCAGCCTTGACAGAGACAGCAATTGATGTTGGGAGTAATGTGGAAAGTATTCGGGCACGGTTTGGGTGAGGTTGGCTCTTCACGTGTGATGTGTCCGTATCAGAAAACAGTTTTGCCTTTGAAGTAATGCTGACTCGGTTACTTTACAAGCTTTGACAGCCCTGGCTTCACCATGGTGTTGGTTGAAAGTAAAACAGAATTGATTGACTCTTTCAGAAGTTGCATATTTTTCTTAGTTCACCACTTTGTGGTTTGTACACTATAGAAAAGTTTTTGTCCTGTTGTGGTTATTCGTTCACATTTCTGATAAGTGATAGGCTAACCTGAATTAAAAGCGTTTGTGGTTATCAAGTTCAAGTTCAAGTTGAGCTTTATTGTCATTCTGCTGCATGTGGGGACATACAGTGGAACGAAATGTCGTGCCTCACAGGACCACGGTGTTACATAAATACAGGCATACAACAATGAAGTAAAACAGTAAAAACCTATACAGTAAAGCAGTAAAAACCTATACACAACTAACCTACTGACTGATTTTGATTATAAATATAC